CACGAGCATACGCTATCAATGTCTCTTGTCACTGTTGACATTGATCTTGATCACCTGCGCAAGGTAGTTCTTTACAGGTGTCTGCACAGTAATTCCTGTGAGTTTCATGTCGACTTTAGCTCCTCCAGCTCAGGAGGGAGAGAAAGTTTGCTTGGACTTTCTGTTGCATGTCTAGCCTCTAAAAACTTCATCCATCTCCCAGAGGAGGAGACCGATGTCACTGCACTCACGCCACCCGAGTGTCCCCTGTTATTGGGCTGTTAATATTAATTAACAACAGTTGCTAAGGATGACAGTGCAAGGGTGTGTCCAGCCAGGGCCCGCCTGGTCCCAAGGGGGGGCTGGGGCCATGGGGGTCCGGGCCGCATGGGGGTGGGGGAGCGAGTGTGGGGCTGTGCGGGTCCCCAGCTGCCTCAGCCCTCGGCCTGGGGCGTTGGGAAGGGGGTGACAGGAGACCCTGTACCTCCGTCCCCTCGCTCCCCGAGAGAGAGGGCCAAGCTGGGCGGGGCGGGCAGTGGATCATTAACCCGGGAGCCCTGGCGGGTGCCGGGCGGCCCTATTGGTTCCCCACCATCAGGCCAGGCTGTCCCTGGCAGGAGGCTGCCCTGCTGGTGCCCCCTGGACCCAGCCCTTCGCTGAGCCCGACTGTCCGTGGCCTCAGTTCCCTCTCGCCCCTCCTGGCGCCGGGATGGCAGAGGCCCGCCCGCGGGGCTGGCTGCTCTGGGTGCTGCTCCTGCAGGCGGTGAGTCTGGCGCCGGCACCCTGCTGGGGCCTCCCCCCTCGTCCTGGGCAGGGGGGTCCTTGGTGACAGTCAGGGAGGCCTGGGCCTAGGGGATCCGGTCTCTGGACAGACGGAATCCCAGGCGCCCGGAGGAGGGGTGTGGGCGGAGGTCCTGGGCTGCCCCGTCTCCAGGCCACGGGCTGTTTGGACACAGGTCTGCAGAGGGGCTGCTGGCCTGGGTGTGACCAGGGGCCTCCCATCCCTGGGCTGCTGGGGACGCCCTGGCCCGAGGTGGGCGGTGGCTTCTGAGTCTCCCACCGTGGACTTAGCAGCTGCTGCTGCTGTTTCTCGCTCACTGCGGGCCTGGGAGGAGGGTGCAGGCTCAGGCCCTGGAGGGGAGGGCAGGGAAGCCGGGCACTGATGCCCCAGGGGCCCCTGCCTCCCGGTGTGGCCTGCGGCGTGGGCACCGCGGTGGCCAATGGCACTGGTGATGGTGCCCGTGTGCTCAGCGCCCGGCACCACTCGACCCCCTAGAGTCATCTCTGACCTGTGACCTTGCCACATGCATGTCTGTTGGGTTGCCTCCCTCCCTCTCTCTCTCTCTTAAACATATTTTAATTTATTTCAGAGAGAAAGGGAGAGGGAGAGAGAGAAACGTTAATAATGAGAGAGAATCATGGATCGGCTGCCTCCTGCACACCCCGCACTGGGGATGGAGCCCACAACTCAGGCCTGTGCCCCAACCGGGAATGTACTGTGCCTCCTGGTTCATGGGTCAATGCTCACCACTGAGCCACATGGCCAGGGCTCACCTCCCTCTCTTCAGTGACCTGATGAAAGCCCATCACCCCCAGACACCACCCGGAGGCCTCTGCACCCCCAGGGCTCCCCAGTTCCCAACCGTGTGTAGCTGCCATGGCCACCCCCCCCACCGGGCCTCGCATCCCTCCTAAGCCCAGGTCCCCAGCCCCCCTGGCTGAGGGTGCGGGACCCCTGGTGAGCCTGCCCTGCTCCCCAGGCCCAGGCCCAGCCGTACACGCCCATCCACCAGCCCGGCTACTGCGCCTTCTACGACGAGTGCGGAAAGAACCCCGAGCTGTCGGGGAGCCTGGCGGGCCTGGCCGACGTGTCCTGCCTGAACAACACGCGTGCCCCCCGCCTCACGGGCGACCACCTGGCCCTGCTGCAGCGCATCTGCCCCCGCCTCTACGCCGGCCCCGACGCCACCTTCGCCTGCTGCTCCCGGAAGCAGCTGCTGTCGCTGGAGAAAAGCCTGGCCATCACCAAGGCGCTGCTGACCCGCTGCCCCGCCTGCGCGGACAACTTCGTGAGCCTGCACTGTCACAACACCTGCAGCCCCGACCAGAGCGCCTTCATCAACGTGACGCGGGTGGTCGTGCGGGGGGCCGGCAAGCCCCCAGCCGTGGTGGCCTACGAGGCCTTCTACCGGCGCAGCTTCGCCGAGCGGACCTACGACTCTTGCAGCCGGGTGCGCATCCCCGCGGCCGCCACGCTGGCCGTGGGCGCCATGTGCGGGGTCTACGGCTCCGCCCTCTGCAACGCCCAGCGCTGGCTCAACTACCAGGGCGACACGAGCAACGGCCTGGCCCCGCTGGACATCACCTTCCACCTGTGGGAGCCCGACCAGGCCGCAGGGAGCCCCATGCAGCCCCTGGACGCGGAGCTCACCCCCTGCAACCAGTCCCAGGGCGGGGCGGCCGCCTGCTCCTGCCAGGACTGCGCGGCGTCCTGCCCGGCCATCGCCCGGCCCGAGGCCCTGGACGCCACGTTCCGCCTGGGCCGCCTGGCGGCGGACTGGCCCTCATCCACATCCTGTGCTCCGTCCTGTCCCTGCTCACAAACTTCCTCGTGGGCACCCCGCCTGCTCTCAAG